AACAGCAAAGGTACTTGGTTTCACTCTCTTTCTTCCAGAAAGGAGAAAAAAAAAAGAAAAAAAAAATCCCCGTGGCCACCGTGTGATGTTCATTGTGCCATGGCCATCGCCAGTCCCACATCCCGTGCTGCGCTTCGCCAGCCTCTCTCTGCAGCTCCCCTAATTAAACGCAAGCGGGTGGTGGTTGCCGCTGGGCTGCTTCTCAAGCAGCCGCTTTGCAGGGCTGCACCTTGGCCCCTGGCAAGTGATTAATCCTCAGTGCACTTCCCATCCCGCGCGCTCCCGCAGCGCAGCCAGGGCTGCGTCACTGGGCTGGGGAATAATGAGGAGAAAAGGTTAAAATCAGCTTTCTGCACTTGGCTGGCTTTTATGGAACAGATATTCCTGGATGGAGAGAAGTATGTTGTGTTTTCTTTCTATTAATGTGAGCCTTAATAAAAACAACTGGACCAAGTCATTTAATTCCAGGCTCATGCTGTCCCCCCACCATGCCCAGATGCAGTCGGTGTCCCTGGGGAATCAGCTGGCCCTGATGCCACCTGACAAGTGCCCTGAGCCACACCGGGGTCACCTCCTCAGGAACCTGGACGTGATGACCTGAGGGAAGCTGGAGTGAGATGTTGGGTTTGCCCCATCGGCAGCTCGGCCTTTGGGAGGAATAGCGAAGCTGAGTGCAGAGGGGTTTGCGTTCAGCTGCACATCATGGCCTGGGTATGCTCGTGATGGGGAAAGTAAGTCAGATCAAACAGGTCCCCATTTACCCATCGCATGCGACCCATCACCTGGGACTCGTGAACTGTGAACCCATCCCTTGGGGACCCACCACCAGGGCCCCATCACTCTGGGGACCCATCACCACGTCTTGTGGCCCACAGGGAACAAGCCAAGTCTCTCCCAGTGACCTTGGGGTTACAGCCAAGCCCCCCCCCAGTCCTGCTTTCCAGGGCACGGCATGGGGACCTACATCCCGGGGGCGGCTCTGTGGGCTACAGGGGATTCTCGCCTGTGGGGACACAGTACTTCTCCCATGAGGACACCTGAGGGCCATGGGGCGCTGCCTGGGGGCACGGGGCAGCCCTGGCCAGGAACCAGTGGCAGGCAGGATCCCCTGGGCAAGGCTTCGTTAGGGCCGGAGATCATGGACCGCGTCCTGCGTCTCTCCCGCGGACTGATGCGACACAGTCAAGTGACACCATAGCAGGCTCCTGAGTCAAGCAGGATTAATTCAGCCCTAAGAGGCAATGATCTTCCCAAACCCGTTTCAGAAGTCACAGCAGCAGTTTGCTGCATTTTTACTGGCAGGGCTAAACGATTAAAAGCTCCTTGCCTTGATTAATGCAAAAAATTGAATTATTCCCCCATCTTTTCTCTCCCTCGGCCCTATAACTGTCCCTGAGTGTCCCTAGGACATGTTCCTCTCCTTGCCCCTGAGCACACGGAGGGGTGATGGCTCCAGCTCAAGCGTGGCGAGACCGGGCTGCCGTGGGTAATTAAAGCTACGCCAGCGAATGTCCTGAGGCAGAACATAATTCAGTGCCGTTAGGCCAAGCCGTGGGGTCAGCATGAACTCCCTGGTGAGGAAACCTCTAACAACCGGCCGGTTCCTATTGCAGCAACAACCAAAGATGCAAACACTGGCCTTCCTCTTGGCAAAACTTTGCATTGTTACTATTTGCTTGATATTAATGGGTGCTCAGTCACAAAAAGGGTGAGGGACGGAGCAAAGCAGCCCCGTGTTGCTACGTGGAGAAGCCCAACCACATGCGAAGACATCACAACTTGTCTTATTTATAATTTTTTATCATCATCATCATCATCATCAATCATCATCATCACCTTGGCAGCAAAACACGTGTGGGGTGAGAGCTTAAAGACCAGTTACGCAAGAGAGCCGGGCCCTTTGCCGAGGAACACCTGCAAGAAGAGCATCCAAAAGGCTTTAAACCCAAGGTGTGGGAACTGGTGTTACACCTCACTTCTCTTTTTCATTCTTTAAGGGAAAAGGGGGAAAAAAAAAAACCCCAACCCCAAAACCTGTCGGTTTTCTGCCACAGTGCTGCTCCAGGACTCGCTGCATCCCCGGGGCAGAGCTGGGCTGCAGGGAGGCGTTCACAAGGACTGGTGGCTCTTGATCTAGGGTTGTGTTCTTTTTTTTTTGAACTACATTAAATTGCTTAGTGGGTTAAAAACGAACGGTGACAATTATCCTTCCCTTGCAGGCACAACACTGAGCGTAGCATAGGTCTTTTATTAATTGCCTGGCTAACAACCGCTCATTTCCCTCTGACTGCTCTTAATATTTACTGTTTTGAGCCTCTAAATTACAGTGTGCTGCCATCGGCCCAGCGCACGCATTCACCGGGTGGCTGCAGGCGCTTTGCGGCGGTGCTAACTGCCGCCTTCGCTTGCCCAAGTCCTTCTTTACCTCTCCGCAGCCATTTGGTTGCACCGCGGGCAAAAACCCTGCTTCGCCCAAGGGTTGTAAGCCAAGACCGGGGCTCCTAGTGCCCTTAATAACATGCTTTAACTTTGGTCAGCCCTGAATTGGTCAGGCAGCTGGACTAGGGGATCCTTGTAGGTCCCTTCCAACTGAAATAGTCTATTCTAGTCCATTGCGTTCCAGCTTCCCATTTCCCCGGCGGCCGAGTGCCATTGCCCCGGGGCTAAAAGCAGGACCCGGGGAGCGAGGAGGGTGATGGGTGAACCTCGCTGTGCGTTGGGCACCCACGGAAACGCAGCAGCCCTTTGCTTTTCAGCCTGCTAACAACTCCAAACTTCTTAAAACACTGGGGCTAAAAATCCTATTTTTCTTCCTGAAGCTTTTCACGGCCCGTCGCAGGCAGCAAGCCGGAGGTATAAATCCTGCACAGCTGCACACCGCTTACACAGCCCCAGCAATGCACTCTGAAAAATTGTATGGATGGAGGGATTTATAATGCCCCCGGAGCACCAGCGCTGCCCTTCCCCTGCCAGTCCCACTCCCCACAACCCCACACGCGCTTGAATTTAAGCCTTTTTGTTTGTTTGTTTTTTTGAAACAGGAACGTGATGCCGGGGTACGCAGGCTGCTCCGGCTCGTGGGTGGAAAAGCGGTCATCTAATTAACCTGGGGCCGATGGCCCCAACATGACGTCGGCTTTGTGCTGCTGCTGGTGTCCAGCCCTGCAGCCATGATTTTCTGCATTTCCAACCGGGAAAAAAAAAAAAAAAAAACCCAGAACCCAACCCAACCCAACCCAATAATTTCCCTCTTGCTGCCTGTCTCAGCGTGGCTGGGGCATAAGGCAGGGCCGTGGGAGGGCGCAAGCCTCCGCGCCGGTGCCTGCGGGTCCCTCACCTGGGCTCTTGCAGGAGCTGGTTGCTTTTATGGCATTGACGGGCAGAACGGAAAGACGGGGAGCAATTTCAGTCGCTTTTTGTCAAGGACTGTGTCAGCTGAAAGGGAAAACTGAGGGCATTTTTTTTAGGGTAGAGGAGTGTAAAGCCCTCCCCCCTCCTCCAGTAGAAGGGAATGAATTATTAGGGGATTTACCCCCTCCTCCTCTCCCCAGTGTCGTTCCATCCCAAGAAGGTACAAACCCTCATGGGGGCAGTGGCTCGTCTCGCCAAGGTCACGGCTGTTACAGCTGTAAAAATTATTTAACAGGAGATTTTTATCTGCTGGAAAAGCCCCACGAGTGAATCTGCTGCAGTCGAGCCAGCACCCAAGACACTGCTGGGCTCACTGGGGAGCCTGAGCCCCCCCCAAAACAGCATCCCGCTGCTGCAGCCAGGGCCGTGCCTTTGGGCGTGGTTTTTCTGTGCCCTTACGCTGTTAGGGATGTCCCTGCCTTCCAGCAATATTTTGGGGAGAGACCCCAGGCATTTGGGAGGCAGGTCCTAGGCAGAGCACCCACCTCCTCCCTTCCGGGATCAACATAATTTGGGGTTTCCCTGAAACCTATCCTGGAAATAAAACCAAGCACAAACATTCCCGGTAGGGAAAAGCCTTTAACCCCAAGGCAGCACGGGAAAATAAAAGGCACGTTTCCCACGGGGACAGCGGCAAAGGCAGGTGACACAGAGGTGAACGAGCGCCCACGGAGGAAGCCGGCTGCTCAGGAGGAAAGGCGAAAAAAAAGCAGCAGAAAGGACGAGAGAGGAAATCCAGCAACACGCAGGAAATCCTGCGGGATTTCCAGCCCAGCGTGGAGGGGGAGCCCATGGCCCGTGGCACAGCCAGCGCCGTTCCTCCCCGCTGCTCCTCCCCGCAGGTTTGAAGCTGGTGGAAATCTGGTTAGAAATCACACGGATCCGGTTGGTTTTTCCACCTCAGCCTCCCGCACAGGAGAGCGGGCCGGGAGCATCCCCTGAGCCAGCGATGCCTGCGAGCGCCGTAGGAAATGGCCCCCAAATTTCCTCGTTTCAGGCTCCCAGCGCAGGGATGGGAAGGTTTGCAATCCCACCGCCGGCTCGGCTGCCATTTTCATTGCCTAGAAATATCCGGAGAGCTCTCCCCGCGGTGGCTTTCAGCATCCCCCCGCAGGGCAGAGGCCCCAGGGCCACATCCTGCACACGGAGCGGGGCTCTGGGGAAGGTGATTTTGGTTGGCTGTGATTTCAAATCGAGGGTTCCCAGCCTCCCCCGGATCCGCTGTCCTGGCTGGATGTCCCCAGTGCCACCAGCAGCCCTGTGTCACCGTGGCAGCTGGGATGTGATGTCCCCTGAAGCTACATGGGGGTCCAAACCCCCCTGGGGCTGGACCGGGGGCTCTCTTGGCCCAGCCATGAGCTCACTGGCAGGTACAACTGGTTTCAGCACCAGACGCTGCCACCCCTGAGGGGTTTCCACCATTCCGGACCAGCTCACCTGCCCCTTGCTCCTGCTCCCTCGGGAAATGCAAGCCTGGGGAGATGCTTGTTTTCGGGGTGCCACGGAGCAGCACTGCTGCTGCAAGCCCCCCTCCTGGTCCCAACCCCTCTCTCCCAGCCCCCAGCAAAGCAGGCACGGAGACGCTCTCAAGTTAAACTCTCCATTTATTGGATCCTTTTACAAAAAAACTCAACATTGTGCTCGTGTTGAAGGAGTGTTTCTTTTCTCTCTGTTTTTGTTTTGTTTTTGTTTTTTTTTTTTTTAAACCTGGTGCTCACGGAGCAGTTCGCACAACCACGGCGCAGGGGAGGGCGGGGGCTGTGCTGTGCGACACGAACGGGGTAGGGGGAGGGTCCGTGTCATCGCAGACGATGCTATTTACAGCGAACGTTGAGAAAGACCTCGCTCTGCACCCGGCACCCGCCGGCTGCAACCCCCGGTCCTGGGTGAAGCAGCAGAAACACTGAAAAGGGGACAAGGCCTTTCCCTTGGGAAGGGCACAGCCGCCGAGAGACCTTCCCGTCTCCTCGGGGCTGGGGCGGCCGAGACCGCGTGCCCCAGGCTGCTCTGTGCTGGAGCTGGGACGAATCAGTTCAACCTGACCTGAGCTTCGGAGTTACCCTGGGACCCCCCAGAAAATCACAGGAGAGCGACGGGTAGTGAGGGAGGAATGTTGGGGACGGTGGCACGGGCTGGACCGCTCTCCAGAAATGCCCCTCTCCTCCCAGATGGTGGAGGAAAGCCTAAGGACGGCTCAGATCCTGGGATATTCTCAGGAGCAGAAAGTTGGGGTGTGAATCACAAGTCTGTACCCTGGAGAGGTTTTGGTGTCTATTTGGGAAGATTTGGGAAAGAGCCACAGCAGCAGAGGACTGGGAGGGACAGCACCAGCCCTGCGGGTGGGGAAGGAGATGCTCTCGCTGGCATTTAGTTTCCTTATGGCACCCCGTCCCTCCCACCGCTGCTGCCGCCCAGCACGTCCCCCCCGAGCAGCTGCCATCAGCGACTCGCAGCACCCATTTACCCCTTCACCCCCAAATCCTCCCCCTTCGGGGTGTCTCCGCAAGGAGGAAACCATCCCACGACCCGCACGGCGATCCCATCACGCAGCCTCTCCCCGCTCAACCACGACACTCCGAGCCTGACCCCTGGCTACCGCAGCACCGGGATCCCCCAAGAAAACCAACGCTTTGGGCAAGAGTTGAGCGTGTTAAGAGCCTGGGAGGAAGAACAATCTGGATTTCCACCGCGGATCTCTACATTTCTACTGGCCTCGAACTGAAACGCAGCAACGGAAAGAAGAAACCCCCAACCTCGGGCTTGCCGCCAGCTCCGACTGCAGCCAAGCAACGAGACCCCGCAGACCCCAAGCCCCCGCGACGCAAAGGGCAACGCAAATGCTTCACGTCACCTCTCCATTTTCCAAGCTCCCCGTGTGACAGTCTCTAACCGGGATAATAAAATTTCCCTTAAGATTTTTTGAAAATAGGTTGCTGAGAAGCGTCTCTCTCTATTTATATAAAGTGCAATCCACAGCTGCCGGCATCCATCCTAACTCCCGTTTGACTCCTGCGGTGCGGGCAGAGGACTGGGAAAGGCAGAGCTGCCTCCACCCTTGGCTGACACCAGGGACCTGTGCTGTACGTGAGCGACTGCCTCGCTGCTAACGAACAACCTAGTAACGAGGGGAGAATTAGAGCCAGGGGCAGAGGAGTGTCAGGCCCCTCAGGGATGCTGAAGCTGGTGCAGCTGCTGACGAGTGCCACATCTCCACTCCGAGCAGAGGCAGAAAACATCCTTCCAGGTGTTTCGGAGCCTCGCAGGAGTCTCCAATCGCATTTTTCAAGAGACTGTGAGCTTTCACATGCTCCGTTTTGAGCACCTGATGTGAAAACAAAAAGGGAGTGGAGAGGAAAAAAAAAAACCACACGCGGAGAGGAAAAGATACCTTGATCTGCCATCTGTAGTGCTGGTGAAGGCACGAGCCGTCGGCTCTGCTGGGGACGGGCTGCCCCTTCCCTTCCACTTCCCAAGGAGCAAGTGTCGGTGACCCCCACCCGTGGGGCTGACATGAAAAATGGCTGAAACACGGCTGGAGAGGCCAGCGATCACCCCAAAACGCGGTGCAGGCTGCGGGAGAGGAGTGCGGACGGGGCTGACCTTGTGAGTGAGCCCAGGAGCTGCTGACGGACCATCCCCGCTCCTCTTTTGGGACGCACCAGAGACACAGCCAGGTGGTAACATCCTTCTGCTGCAGGGCGCTGGGATGCTGAGCTGCTGAGCTGCAACCTGCCACAGTGGAAGATGGGCCAGGAAAACCGGGGACACTGAGGCGAATCGCACAAGTTTCACCTTCCCATCTACCCAGCAAGAGCTTCTCCAGGCTGCCCTTAAACATCTGGGACGCGTTGAGGGAGAACATCACACAACAGAGGGCAACCCGTGTCCTCCCCTCCTGTTACGGGACGGGATCGAAGCAGAAGGGAGCAGCGAATTGAACACAGAGGTTGGGCAATCACAGGGACGTAACGGCGTTTCGCTTTGGTGGGAGAGAAACCAGCTCCAAAAACAGCCCCGTGAATGCAATCCCAGCGGCATTTCCCAGTTCACGCGAAGGAAAGCTCTTGGTGGGATTAACCTTCGAACGCAGCCCAAAGCCAGGGCACGAGTGCAGACGGGATGGGGGTTTAAGGCAGTTATGCTGAGGCCCACGGGCAAACCCAACGTGGGCACGTTTCGCTCGGGGATGGGGGACGAGGGCCGAGGCAGAGCAGGGACTCCGGCCCACGGTGCAGCCCTGGCTCCGGCACACGCAGGCTGGGCTGGCGCTTTGCTTCGTCTCTGCTTGGCTGTGCACAGATGAAGGGTTAGCGTCTTCTCCTTCCTCCACTCTGCAAAATGCGAAGCGATCTCAGGAGAAGGCCCCGATACCCCAACTCCCATCGCACCAGCACTGAAAGCTGAACTACTGCCCGCTCCCCCGGCAGGGGCCAGGCACCGCGAAGAGCCAGCTCTCGGCGGACTGCGTCCACGCTTGGATGCTTTTGGGAAAGAGGTTTATTTTATCAGCAAAGGCTGATGTAGCCGATCTCAGGGTGCTACTGGAGCAGCTCTCCAGGGCCAGTGAACGAGGCCCTGAAGTGCAGGAGGAAAAGTCCCAAAGTGTGTGTGAAAAGGCCAGGCCAGACTCAGAGACTCTCCGCAGCTGCCTTTGGCGCTGCAGCGGCTGGAGAAAACCGCAGGCCAAGGCAGCCCGCTCGAACGCACGAGCCTGGGGCATTGCCAGCCCCTGCTGTGCTGCAGATGGATCATTCCCAAGCCCCAAACACGCTCCCCGTCTTCGGAGGTTTAGCAGCGCCTGCGGTGTGCCGCGTGGGGTGGAAAAGAAAACCGAGAATGAGACCGGAGCAGCCAAACTCCCCCGTGGCTGTGGTACGGGACCCGGCACGGTGCTGGGAGCCGGGGAAGGACCCTCCAGGGCCAACCTCTTCCCTGCTCGCCCCTCTCCGAGGGCAGGGCTCAGGGTGGTGAGCAGAGCAGAGCAAAAAACTCGTCACCGGATGACACCTGAAGTCCTCAGTAGTAGCCACAGGGCAAGACGAGCCAGGACGTGGCGTGCGGGAGGGGAGGAGAAGGGCTTCCCCGCGGAAGAAAGGATGGGGACGACAGTGGTGACCGGAGCTGCCTTGATGCTGGGAATAACCTCTCTGCAGTCAAACAGCTCCAACCTGGCCTCGCCACGGTCCCCCCCCCGAGTGGGCAGACAGGTCCAGAGGGGAAAAGGGGGTGGGGGGAAAGAAAAGGAG